ACTTGGAAATGTCGGTAATGGTATTGGAAAAGAGGATAAAGGCATTTTGACCGTCCTGTTTCTCCAACTCGGAAATGTACGTGTAGGCGCCCACCGAGACGGCCACACCGGCAAGTGCCATGCACGCCACCACCACGAACCGCCAGAACTGAATGAGACGCGTATCGCCCTTGGTCAAGTTCTCCACATTCCGCACTTCGTCTTCCGGCTCCAGACTCTCCACTCCGGTCATACCAGAAGACACCGAAATGTGCCCCGGAATGGAAAACTTGTCGTCGACGCTCCGACTGGTCATCTCAAACGAAGCATCATCATCTTCGTGGGCTTCTGCCGTTGGCTCGGGGTGGTGCTTGGGGATGGTAGCTTCCATCGTCATGGTCAAGGTTTGGCTAGATTTTGCTTTTTGCTTAACTCAGCTTGCTAAATTGATTTGTGTTTGCGGGGTTGCAAGATGCGAGGAATAAAAATGTGACAGATAGTGGCATGCACACTTGGCTACGGGCAGCTCCATCGCCTCCAAGCCTGCTGGTCCGTACCGGTACCGTACCTTGGCCGCTGGATATACATAGGCTAGTACCGGTACTGAGTTGTACAGCTGTTGTACTGACGTTTCGTTGGCATTGGGCAGTGGTTTGAGGCTGCTTCCTCCTGTAAACAGATTTGTAAAACCAGCGGTTTCATTGCGTCAAAGAACTATTGAGATGTGCCCCGAAGTCAGGCTAAAAGCACTGTGTTGAATTAGCAAAATGACTGCACGTTTATGCAGTAGTCGTACTTAAGGATGCTTAGACAACATCTGGCATTGGACATATTGAAACAGGGCATGCGGGAATACTCTATTTAAAGGTGAACTTTCTGCTGGCACTCGGATAGTTCCACTGACGAAACCGTATATGTACATTGAGATTTATTGAAATCTCCAAAGCTATTCTTTAGAGCAACAATGAAGCTTCTTTGAACTTTCGAAGAATCTGCCCGAGCCGCATGTGCGTGCGAAGTGCGAAGGGCGAAGCAGCACGGCACAAGAGTTCACCGAGTACAGCCGTAAGACTTACTGAACCGGGAACGAAGCTGGCAAAACTTTTTTGTCGCTTCTCAAGAACAGAAACTTGGTGGTAGGTTGTTACTGTATTATGAAGACCAATGGTGCAATAAATAGCCTGCAACTTTCAAAACCAGTGAAATCGAATCGCATGGACTTAGGAGACTGCAGACTTTGAAGGAAAGACACATAATAATATGACGGCTTATAAGAATATGCGCCAAACAAACAAGATTTATCGGATTGAATCCGCGAAAATGCAACCCACCGAGCTTTCCAAACCTCAAGTTGATTCTTTTATTTGCAAAAGGTCTCACATCGACAGCTAGAGCTAGCTTTTAAAATATTAGAGCTAGCTATGGAGCAAGAAGAGTTCTAGAGTTGCATTGAGACACTCTGTGGCTACATTTTGGAAGATGTGTGGTGTGGTTTAATGTTGGTTTTATGTGGCTGCCTGGCCATGGAGGCGAGCTGTTGGCGTTGTGGCAAAGGTTCTTTGGTTCTTTGAACTAACTACAAACTACATGTAGCTAGCTAGTATCTAG